CATTACTACAAATGAAGTTACATGACAAGCAAAACTACAGTAGGGCTCAAAGGGCTTCCGATAAAGTTTCTGAGGAATTAAGCACCATGCACAAAGGTTCTATGAAAGTTTCTATTGTGAATAACCTTGTGGGTCAGAGGCGAGATCCCCAGATGTTCCCTACAGAACACAGTCCTCTGAGCAAAACAACTGCATTCTTCATAAGCTGTGCCTGCTTGCAAGAGCCCTCTCTAGAGGTCACTAGGGGGAAGATGACTTCTCTATCCTCAGAAGACAGTCTACTCCCTCCTGTATCTCCTAGCCATTTGAATGAAATTCTGCCCTAATTGCAAGCAGCCTCTGGAGGTGCTAGAGCATACAGGCTGGGAAAGCTTGACTGAAGGCAACTCCATCTACTTTCTTGTGCTACTTACTGCTTTGGAGTCTCCCACTCTTACTAGTAATCTCTTACCCAAAGAAAGCCCCAAGACTCACTGCCTTCCCAGAGTGAACTTGGGTAGAACTATTAGCATCTTGTAGGGAGGTGATAGCTGTCTCCCCAGGAAAGAAATTCTGGTAACATTCCTAGAAGGGAACCTTCCCAGGAAGCAAATATTCATCAACCAAATGAAAGGCCCTGAGGATTAAGGATATTCACAGTTGATGGAAAAATGAGTAAGAAAAAGGGAGGAAAGCACACTGGGGTTTCCTAAGTGAACCCAGAAGGAGCTGAAAGGGTCTGGTTGGATGACCTATTGGGCTGAAGATTTTTGGGAAGTCTAAATCTTTCCTGCCAAACTGTAGGAAAATTCCAAAATAGGAGGCACTAGAGTACAGGAGAATGAGCACAAACCTGGGAATTCACAGGAAAACAAAGCTGAATTCTACTCTGACTTCTGCCAATACACCAGTAGACAGCCTCTCCAGTCACATCCCTAGTAAAACCTGCTTTGCAAGGCTGATGCAAATGTTAAAGCTGACAATACCCATAAGAAGGCATGATGCAGCAACACAGACACTAAACAAATAAATCATCCACTCCTTTTTTCTTTTGGTGAGATGACACAAATCCCCCCAACTCAGAATCTTTTTTAATCTTGGAAATATAAACCCAAATTTATCTGTAGGCTCCAATTTGCATAGAAGCCAAACAAACCACCTAAACAACACCCTGGGAATTAGTGACTCACATAAAGATCTATTCTCCAAACATCCACTTCCCCAGAACTGGAACAGAGGTTTTAGAAAGCTACTGAACTTTATCCCTTGCAGAAATAATAAGCAAGGAAAATACATTTTTACTGTCCAACTGGAACCAGGACTGAGCTACAAGAATAAAGAAGCTTCCAGAACATAGAAAAAGAAGGGGGAGGGCGTCCCCCATAGTTAATGCTTTCGGGTTTGAGCCCTTGTTAGCACAGGAAAGACACTGGGATAGAGAGGCATTCTCCCACTCAAAGAATGAATCTTTCATGCTCTCTGGAGTGTTTGTTCTACTAGAGAACACACAGCAACTTCCTGGAGGCTCCAGGGCCCTCTATGCAGCACTTGTGTACACTCTACGCTTTTTAGGGTGCAACCTGCTCCTGACTCTGTGAGCTATCCAGAAGCCTAAGGGTCATTACAGTGTATTCCTGTGAGAGGCCACCCCAAATTAGCAACAATAATAACCGAACACAAGGAACTCACCTCTGTTGTGCTCCTAAAGAAAGGCAGTTTTGGTTATTAAAACAGGTAAAGTGTCTTAATCCCTATCAACTTTGTTTTACAAAAATCAATCCAGTACATTTCCAAGAGGGAATCAGTAATCTTAGATATATGCCTGTTCAATGAGGAGGACTATCCAAATTGTACACACACCAGACAAAACAGCAGGTCTCATTCTCCCCATGATCGACTATTACATAACAAATTGTGCCAAAGGGTAGCATAGTACAAAGGCCAGTTGTAGTTTCAATCTTTATCCCCTATCTTTTTCAGATTGGATGATTTCTACCTCTGAATCAATTATACACACTTCCCTATCATCTCTGTGGTATTCTTAAGAATTCATAAACCTTTTAGTTTCAGATACTATATTTTTTCATTTCTATAGTTTCTACTTAGTTCTTTCTATAGTTCTTATTTCTATTCTATCTTTTCATTCATATAATACATACTGTCCATTCACTATTACAACTGTTCCTTTAAAGTCCTTGGCAGCATCTTTGTGATTTGCAGTCAGCTTCTTTTGAGTAATAGTTCTTTTAACAATGGAATAAATTTTCCAGTAAGACACATGATTTTGTTTTGACTCCTAGACACTGCATAAACTATTCTGTGGAAATTCTTAATTATATTATAGTCCTGTAAAGAGGGTTATTTGTTTGTTTGTTTGTTTGTTTGTTTTGTGAACATCTATTTTAGTTGACTTAAATATAAACTTTGCAGACTGACAACTCAGATTTCAATAATTACTTTGTCCCCAGTTTACTTGCTTGGAGCCTGCCAGGTTTGTACATGATTCAAACATAAGCAAAGACTTAGAGAACTGAGGCAGAGAACCTGGGCTTGCTTGTACCTTTCAGGGATTCCCTCCTCACTTCCAATAATATTTGCCCCCAAACTGTTCTTTGTTTTCCTTTTTTATTACATTTATTGAAAGGGAGAAGAGGAAGGGGGGAGGGAGAAAGGCAGCAGTTGGGGAAAGAAAGACAGGGAGAAAAAAATGAATATATGTCACAGCACCTGTATAGAGGCCAGAGGACAACTTGTGGATCCTAAAGATTGAACTCAGGCCATCAGGCTCGGTGGCAAGTGCCTTTACCCACTGAGATATTTTGCTAGCCTTGTTTGTTTTTTTTTTTTTTTTTCCCCTTCAAGCTAGAAAACAAGCAGATTTCCTGTAAGTCACATTTTGTCCCATCCCCTTCTTCTAGTATCAATTTCACTCCACAATGTATGAATTTGTGCCAATTTTAATGTCTTTAAAAGACTGACTTCATACAGTTTATAAATGTTAAGGATGATAACAGCATCTTGCACTATTAACAAAAGGAAAACCTACACAAATTTTTTTTCTAACTTCACTTTTTCTCACAGTGCTGAGATCCATAATTAAGAAAAGGCTTTGCCTGGGCCAGTCACATAAAGAACCAAGACTGCATATACTTCCAAGATGGCTTTTTGCAAGGGTTTCTGGTACCACGGAGTTTCTTGACTAGTTCCACTCTCTGCATCTCAGTTTTTAGAGCCTCTCCACATGGTTTCACTAAGTTCATAGCAAGGTGGTCTGGAAGAACCAGCACTTCTTACATAACTAGTTTCTAAAAGCTGGGCAAATTAAGGACTATGCCACAAATGATACAGGCTCATTCCTATCATATGTTACTGTTCAAAGCAGTCATGTGAGCTGGAGAGTTTCAAAGAATGGAGAAATAGATGCCTTGATAGGAGTATGGTAAAATGACATTCAGAAATATACATACAGTAACAAGAACTTTTATAGATGTCTTAGAAAAATATAACCTGTAACAGATTTAATATTTAAATAAGCAAAACAAACACTGCCCCAAGTAAATCCCAGTAAGACAAAGAACCTCTAGTTCCAGCTGGGCGTGGTGGTACATGTCTTTAATCTCAGTGCTCAAGAGGCAGAGGCAAGCAGATCTCTGTGGGTTCAAAGCCAGCATGGTTTAAATAGCAAATTTCAGAGCAACCAGGGCTACAAAGAGAGAGCCTATCTGGGAAATTGAAGGAGCTGAGTGTTACTTCAATGTGAAGCACATGACCTAATCATCATGTGGCTCTTTTATCAATATCAACCTCATGTTTTCAGTATAATCAGCTCTACATGATAAGTATAAAAGAGAGGACAAAAGAAGTTCTAAAGGGGGCCTCTCATATTTCCAGAAATTAAATGCATATCCATTCAGAAAACCTAGTATTAAAGACTCAGGACAGGACACTATTTTTTTTGGGGGGGGGCTGCTCAAGATAGGGTTTCTTTGTATTGCTTTGGAGCCTGTCCTGGAACTCACTCTGTAGACAAGACTGGTCTCCAACTCTCAGAGATCTGCCTGCTTCTGCCTCCTGGGATTAAAGGTATGTGCCACCAATGCCCAGTAATACTAGACTTCTTTTTATTCTGTTTCAGACAGTGTCTTGCTATGTAGCCTAGGCTGGTCTTGATGTACTGATCCATTTGTTTGGTCCTCCCTGGGGCAGAGACAACAGTTATGTGTCACCATGCCTCACTCAATGTTTCTGAAATGCCTATTACTAAAAAAATTTCCAAACTTGTTAAAATCATTTTTTTCTGTTGTTCTCACTATGAAGCTCTGGCCAGCTGGAACTTACTATGTAGAACATAGTAAGAACTGACTTCATACAGTTTATAAATGTTAAGGATGATAACAGCATCTTGCACTATTAACAAAAGGAAAACCTACACAAGTTTTTTTTCTAACTTCACTTTTTAGAAAGTCCAGATGGCTCAGCAGATAGAAAACACTTGTTGCAGAGCCTCTCAACCTAAGCTTGATTTCTGGAATGGATGGTGAGAGGAGAGAACCAACTTCACATGCATGCACTGAAAAGCATGTACTGGCACTGTTTCACACTCATACATCTCTCTCTCTCTCTCTCTCTCTCTCTCTCTCTCTCTCTCTC